GTAAGGATATAGCCTCAGCTAGGTGCTACTTTACAGTATGTTCATTCTATTCACTGAGTTTTATGCCTAAAGTCAGACATGTGTTCACAGATATGTGTCTATCAGCTGAATTTACTATTAAAAGTATTTAGATTAATTAAGATATTTTGTGAATCAATAAAATGTGGGGGGAAAAAAGGCATGGAGAGTAACTGTAGATGCCAGAGACAGTTGGGAGAAGGGTGGGAAATGGCAGAGGGTGAGAAGTGAGTAATCAAGGGGAAAAGAAAAAAAAAAGAAACAAATGATATAAGAAATAAGATATAGAAAAGTATTTGTTGATGATAACATGTATGGTAATATCCTTGGCTAAGCCAATATACAGTATATTCGGGATGGGAAATCACGTTTTATATGCTGTGATGATATACAGTGAATGAATGTAAAATAAATAAATTTTAAAAAGAAAAAAAAAGAGGGAACCAGCAGTTAGCGTAATGGCTATGTCGCTGGACTCCCACGTAGCCGACCGCGGTTCATGTCCCGGACCCGGTGGCTTAAAACTCCCGCCGGGCACTTGTGCGTACGTGCCCAAGATCCCGAGAGGAGAATGGAGGAGAAGGGATTGCGGCGTGACCATCCCCCCTGGGGGGTGATTTCTCGCTTTCTGTCCTGTTTGTCTGGCGAGCGCACGCCCCCTATAGCAAAAAAAAAAAAAAAAAAAAAAAAAGAAAAAGAAAAAAAAAGAAAAGCTTATATCCACAGAAATTAACAATATATAAACAAAATATACAACATGGGAGAAAAAATATCACAAAAAATGCATTCTTTGATTATATTAATGAAAGTGATAATTTCTGTTGAAACTGATCAAGAAAAACAAAGACAGAGTCGATAGTGGTGAAGTGATAAAGCAATTCTCTGTGAGACTGACTTGCATGAGATATTTCTTGGTTCACATCTAGAGACCTCTCTGAACATGGCAGGTGCACACATGCCCATAATCTGGGGCTGGCTGATACCGGAGGTGGATTGTGGCATGAAGACCTTATTGGGAATGCCTGTCTTTCTGTCTCTGTGCCTCTCCCTCTCTATAGCTAATGGAAGAAAGAAATAAACTTTAAATAGAAAAATAGAGACCAGCAGATGGTGTAATGACTATGTCACTGGACTCCCACGTAGTCAATCATGGTTCGAGTCCTGGACCCGTTGGCTTAAACTCACACCAGGCGCATGTGCATGTGTGCTCAAGATCCCAAGAGGAGAATGGAGGAGAAGAGATTGCAGCATGGCCATCTGCCTGGGGGGCGACTTCTTGCTCTCTGTCTCTCTATTTCTGTCTGTCTTTCTGGCGAGTGCACATGCCTTATAGCAAAACTCTCTCCATAGAAAGAAAGACAGAAAGAAAGAAGAAAGAAATCAACAGAACTTATATTTAAAAGTGTACTTCTTACGGATCCTGCAGATTTCTATAAAAATAAGGGGGGCCAGCAGGTGGCATAGTGTTTAAAGTGCTGAATTCACACATGGCCAGCTTGGGTTTGAGTCCTAGACCTGGCAACTTGAAAATCACACCAAAATGCTAAGAGGAGAAGGGATTGATGCATGGCCATCCTCCCTGGAGGGTGGTTTCTCACATTCCCTCTCACTGTCTCTCTCTCTCTCTGTCTCTCTCACCCAAGTGCGCATGCTCTATGGCAAAAACCTTTAAAAAGTTTTTTTATTATATCAGTACTTTATCAATGAATTTAAACCTTTATATGAAATGAACAATGTTCAGAAAAGAATATACTATCAAAATTAAGTCAAAAATAAATATAAAATCTGAACAGTTCTATAACAAAATATATTCTAAAGAGAAGAATATTATCAGGGAAGAAGACAATAATTTGATAATTATAAAAAGATCACTTTTTTAAGAGCATATAACAAACCTAAACATTATGACCAATGAGGTTTTTACCAGAAATGCAAATAGAAAGGGGGCCTGTGGGTGGCACAGTGGTTAAGGTGCTGGCCTCTCAAGTGGCTGACCATGGTTTGGGTCCCAGACCTGGTGGCTTGATACTTATGCTGGGCACATGTGCTTATATGCCCAAAATCCTGAGAGGAAAATGAAGGAGAGGGAATTAAGACATAGCCGTCCCACCCCCGGGTGGGGAAGGTGATTTCTTGTTTTTTGTCTCTCTGTCTCTCTGCAAGCACACATGCCCTATAGTAAAAGTCTCTAAAATTTTATATATATATAAAATTATATATATATATATATATACACACACACACACACATATATAAAGAGTAATATAGGAATCCACAAGTACTATCAGAGATTTTAGCACCTCTCTCTCAGTAACTGTTAGAAAGAGTAGCAAATCAATGAATCTGTAGAAGACTTCATCAACAGTATTGACCATCTTAGCATAATATTTATGTATATTACTTTGTACCTACATATTTGGAAATTAAATAATATAATTTTAAGTAAACTATGCACTGAAGAAGAAATTAAAGGGGAATTAGGAAATATTCTGATAATACTGAGTAATTTAAGAATAGAAAGGAAGATTCAAGATAGCAGAATTTGGGGGACATAACCAAAGTACTGTTTACAGAAAAATGTTAATAATATATGCTTACTTTAGAAAGGAAAATATCTCAAATCAATGAACTAAGCGTTTACCTTTATGTAATGATAACAGCCAAAATCAATGAAATGGAAACAGAAAAAGCAAAATAGTTAATGAAATGAAACACTGATACTTTAAAATCAATAAAACACAAGTCTGGCTAGACACATCAGGGGAAAAGGAGATAGAAATGACCAGCACCAAGAGTTAAAGTACAAACATCTCTCCAGGTTAAAAACTGTGAAAAGGAATATTGTATGAACAACCTTATATCAGCAAATTTACAACTTAGATTTAAAACGGACAAATTTCTTGAAAATACAAACTGCCAAAACTCACTAAAGAATAAAGATACGATCAAAATGGCCTAAATTGCTGGAGAAGAAAATGATTTGTAATTAAAAACTTGATTCAAAGAGAACTCCAAGCCTAAATGGCTTCATTGAAAAATTCTACTAACCTTTAAGAAAGAAATAATTTCAATTCTACATAAAATCTTCCAGAATATTAAAGAAGAATTCCCAATTTAATAAACTTTTGGCTGATACTAAAACATGAAAAAGATATTATAAGAAACCTACAAACAAGTATTCCTCATCAACATAGAATAATGCTAACAATATTTTATGAAATTTAGTATATAAAAAGGATAACACATTATGACCAAATGAGGTTTTTATCAGAAATGCATGGTTTCTTTAACATTTGAAAGTTAACCAATGTAATTCACTATATTAACAGACTTAAAAAAAAAAAGAAAAATCATACAACAATCTCAAATAGATGCAAAAACATTTGGCAATATCATTCTCCATTTCTGATAAAACTCACAGCATATTAGGAATGGGAAAAAAAATCCTCAGCCACATAAAGAGACCTATGAAAAAGAAAACTAACATCCTGTTTTATGGTGAAAGCTGAATGCTTCTCTCAATAGTCAGGTTTAAAGTGTGGCTGTCTCCTCTCATGACTTCTAGTCGCCATTTATATTAGATATTCTAGCCATTGCAATAAGATTCATGAGAGCAGCTGAAATTATAAAGGAAAATCTAATCACTTGTTGACCTTTTGTCTAAGATCAAGTGTCAAAAAATTTATAAATTTGGAGTTCATCAAAATTATAAATTATTTTTCACAAGACACTGCTACACAGGAAAAAAAAATCAAGCCTCTGACTGGAAGAAAGTATTTGCAAAACATACATGTGATAGAAGATTTATATCTAGACTGTATAATGAGCTTCTAAAGCATCATAATTAAAAAGGTCAACAATCTAATTTTAAAAGTGGGCAAAAGACTTGAATATACATTTCCCATATAAAGAAATATAGATGTCAAATAAGAACATGAAAAGATGTTCGGACCAGCAGATAGCGTAATGGCTATGTCACTGGACTCCCATGTAGTTGACCACAGTTTGAGTCCTGGAACAGGAGGCTTAAACTCACGCCGGGCATGTGTGTGTGTGTGTGTATGTGTGTGTGTGTGCATGCCCAAGATCCTGAGAGGAAAATGGAGGAGAAGGGATTGCGGCGTGGCCATCCCCCCTGGGTGCTTTCTGTCTCTCTGTCTTTCTGACAAGCACAAGTGCCCTATAGGAAAAAAAAAAAAGAACATGAAAAGATGTCAACCTCATTTGGGAAATTAAAACAGTGATACAGTACCGCTACATACCCACTAGGTCAGCTAAACAGCCTGGCCATACTGTTCTGGGACTCTAATAAATGGCTAGTGGGAATGTAACATTGTACAATCACTTCGGAAAACTATTTGGTCACTTCTAAGGCCCAGTTGTTCCACTCTTAGATGATATCCAAGAGAAAAGAAAGTGTAAGTTTATACAACGACTTGAACATAAATGTTTACAACATCTTTATCAAACATTGGAGACAACCTAAATGTCCCTCAACAGATGAATAGATGAATGGGTCACCATGCAATCAAATACTTCTCAGTGACAAGAAAGAATAAACTATTGAGGCATACAGCAACACACATAAATCTTAAAAATAATCATGGTGGGTTACAGAAACAGATATTAATGAATGAATTCACCATATTATTTAGTTTATATAAAATCCAAAAACTTCATGCTAATCTGTAGTAACAGAAAGCAGATAAATGTTTGCTCGTGGGAGGACTAGGATCACAAGCAAATTCAGGGGGTGACGGAAGATGCATTCTCTTCATTTCAGTGGTAGCTTTCCAGGTGTGTACGTGTATTTTGCCAAAATGTAGCAAACCAAGCACTTAGAATATGTGTATTCCATATCATATAAATGATATTCAATAAAGCTGTTGAAGACATTGCGAAACACAATGTCTTTCAGAAAGGTATGTAAAAAAGAGAGGAAATGAAACTAGGTAGATAACTATAAACAGCTGTTTCTTTACCTTCTTAATTGTTAAGGGGTTCTCACAGGAAGTTTTGAAGCACTCTGGGATTTTTCTACAGGGTTCTGAAATGAAATAAAGAAGAAATATATTTAAACTGAAAAAGAATTTCAATTGCATAATAATATGTCAGTTACAAAAACAAATGAAAGTATATCTGAGTTTAAATTAAAGTCAACTCAGGGATCTGTTATAATTATTCAGAAACTTGCAGGTAGAATTGCACTGTAATAACTTAATATTTATGTTAAAAAATTAATTCTAGGGGCCAGCAGGTAGCATGGTGGTTAAGGTGCAGGACTCCCATCTGGCCAACCGCGGTTTTAGCCCCAGATCTCACAGCTTGCTTTCTCACCCCCCTCCCTCATTCCCCCATGTCTTCCTCTCTCTGGTGAGCGTGCGTGCCCTGTAACGAATTTTTAAAATAATCATGATAATGATAAATAAAATTAAATAAATAATTCTTTTTTAAAAAATTAATTCCATGCCCAATATGTTGATACAAAAACACTCTGCAAGTGCTCTCTTAATCTGGTTAAATTGATTTTAAAAGGACATATTTCAGTAGGAAACATGTTTTCCTCTGTCTTCTGCCCATGGAACTGTCACCTTCTCTAATAAGAGAATTTTGGGGCCAGGCAGTAGTGTGGTGACTAAGGTGGCTGGGTCCCACATAGCTGACCACAGTTTGGAGGCTTGAAGAGTACGCCAGGCATGAATGTGTGCATGCCCCAAATTCCAAAAGGATGAAGAACTGAAAGAGAAGGAATTGCAGTATGAACATGCCCCACTTGGCGGGGGTGGAATGGGAGTGGGTACCATTCTCCATGGGATTGGGTTTTTCCATTTCTCTTGTCTCTCTCTGTCAAGTGCACACACCCTCCATGAAAAAAAAAAAGATAGAGAGAGAGAGAAAGAGAGAGAGAGAGAGAAAAGAAAAAAGAGAAACACCGGTTTCCACAGTCAAGAGGAGGGAGGGGATGCCTCGGGTCACTGATGCTTCACTTGCTCTAGCAATGTCCAGGAAGATAAAGGTAGGTGCTAGAATGCTGCTGCATGCAGAAAGCCAGTTGGCATGTGCTGACCCTGCCTTTGGACAGCCCTGAATCCTGAATTGGCACACTGGGGTGTTACAGCAGGAAAGCCCAGGTCTCCAGCCACGCTTCAGAACAGAAAGTAACAACAAGATGACCTTACCCCTTGTGCCTCATGATTTTTACTAGATGGTAACACCTAATTTCCATCAAGGGACACTTTCTTACAAATGCCATTCTTGGGGCTGGCAGGTGGTGTTCTGGTTAAGGGCACTGGACTCCCACATGACTGACTGTGGTTCAAGTCCCAGATCTAGCAGCTTGCTTTCTCACTTTCTGTGTGTGTGTGTGTGTGTGTGTGTGTGTGGTGTGTGTGTGTGTGTGTATGTGTGTGTGTGTGTGTGTCCCTCTCTGGTATGAATGAAAGAATGAATAAATAAATAAATAAATAAAGTTAAATAAAATAATTCTTTTTAAAAATGCCATTCTTAAGTTTCTAGGTTCCACAGAGCCTAGAAAAGGGGCATCAGAAAGAAGGTGGAATAACAGGCCTTGAGTTTTCATTGCTAGTGGAAGACAGGGGAGAGAAGCTCTGGAAAGGATGAAATGAGTTAAGTGTGAAGAACTTCGAATGGCATCTGTCACAGAGTAAGCACTTGACAACTTATCACTCTTACTGTTATGTTTAGAAAGATGTATATTTTACCACATTATATTAAAAAAAATTCCATGTACAAAGTTTGGTAATAGCATGTAATTGAGTAAGGTAGCAGAAGGAAAGAGT